GATATAGATATAGATATAGATATAGATATAGATATAGATATAGATATTTCTTTTAAAAATATATCTGATTCCCCCCCTTCATTTTTCCCTTCCTACTATCTTCTCTCTCTTTTTTTTAAACATATAATGTATTATTTGTTTCAGAGGTACAGGGGGATGGGTTAGCCTGGTGATGGGTGTTAAAGAGGGCACGTATTGAATGGAGCACTAGGTGTTATATGCAAACAATGAATCATGGAACACTACACCAAAAACTAACAATGTACTGTATGGTGATTAACATAACATAATAAAACAAAATTAAAAAAAATATATATCTGAAACAACCGAAATGTCCATTGACAGAGTAATGAATAAACAAAACGTGGCATGTACTCCTAGAGGAATATTATTCGGCCTTTAAGAAGAACAAAGTTCTCACACAGGCTATGGCGTGGGTAAACTTTGAAGACATTACACTAGGTAAAACAAGACAGATACAAAAGAATAAATATTGCACAATTCTGCTTATGTGAGGTGCTCAGAATGGTCAAGTTCATAGAGACAGAAAGTAGAGAGTGGTTACCAGGGGCTGGGGACAGTGGGAAATGGGAGCTTATTGTTGGATGTTGAGTTGGGGGTGATGGGAAGGCCTGGAGACCGATGGTGGTGCTGGGAGCATAACAGCATGAGTGTACTTAATGCTACGAAGCTGTAACTTTAAAATGGTTAAAATGGTAAATTTTATGTTATGTATATTTTACCACCACAAAAAAATGTACGTCAGAATGTGTTCTTCAATGTTTCTTTGACTTGTCTACTGTTACTCCAACAGATTTCAGAAATTATACTTGAATTGCTTTTTATTTTATTTTTTAAAAGATTTTATTTATCTTACAGAAAGAGTGAGAGAGCAGGGAGGAGGGGCAGAGGGAGAGGGAGAAGCAGACTCCCGCTGAGCAGGGAGCCCGACATGGGACTCGATCCCAGGACCCTGGGATCATGACCTGAGCCAAAGACAGATGCTTAACTGACTGAGCCACCCAGGTGCCCCTGGAACTGCTTTTTAAATATATGCTATGAATTTGTTTACTTCAGAGGTCCAGCCGGTCCCAAAACAAGCTCAGGAAGAGGTATGTGTGTGCACATGAATGTGTGTGTGTGCGTGTGTGCGTGCGTGTGTGTGTGTGTGTTGAATGTGAGGGGATCTAGGTCATAACCGTGTGTATAGAAAGAACTGAGGTGTTAGAAACTGAGGTGGAGAAGTCACCCAGCTGCTGGCTTCTCTCTTTGCTTCCCCTGAATAGAGATTTTGTAGAAAATGGTAAATGTCCTATTTCACAAAATTCTAAGTCTAAGGCATAGATGTACCTAACTTTATAAGTTTCAAGTCTAAAACTATAGGTAAAAGCAGAGGTATGAGCATTTGTCACCCAGATGACTGTGGAAGTGAATTCATTCATTTCAGAAATATTTATGAGCACATGATGTGTCAGGCTCTGGAGACAGAAAATGTACTCAGCATAACCCCTCAAATTCCTATAAGCAGGACTGGCTCCATAATTTGTGGGGGCCCAGCACAAAATGCAAAAGCAGAGCCTGTTAGAACAGTATGAAGAATTTCAAGGTGATGACAGGAGAGCACTAAGCCAAGCACGGGGCTCTTCCAAGTGCAGGAGTGGGGGTCGGGAAGGGTTAGCCACCTGCAGAGGGCTGGGGCCCCTGCGGCCACAGGGTAACTGGGGGTCAGTCTGTGGACAGCATCAGCAAGGCCCTGAGAATAGGGGCTTCTCGTTGTCATGTTACATTGCACCTCACTTTGGTTTCAGCAAATCTCCTTTACCTTTTTTTTGAAGATTTTTTAAAATTTATTTATTTTATTTTTTATTTATTTGACAGAGAGAGAGAGAGACAGTGAGAGAGGGAACACGAGCAGGGTGAGTGGGAGAGGGGGAAGCAGGCTCCCCGCTGAGCAGGGAGCCCGATGCAGGACTCGATGCCAGGACCCTGGGACCATGACCTGAGCCCAAGGCAGACGCTTAACGACTGAGCCACCCAGGCGCCCCTCTCCTTAGCACAGTTCAGTAAACGTTCTTATGCTGTTATTGTCCATTCAAACAGATTAGAATCTTGTAGTATTTGATTTTTGGATCTCCATCTCTACTCACCCCCAAAGTCAGTAGCATGCTGGGTAAATATATAGGTACTCAATATATACTCATTAAAAGATTCAGTGATTGATTCTCGAGCAAAATATAGGTAGCATAGGATGATTATGGAAGCTGATTTTCTACTAGGGTAAGGATGATTATGACAACTATGATTATACCACCTATATCCTAGGCACTGAATTAGGGCTTAATAGAAACTTTCTGATTTAATATTCTCACAAATAAGCTTTTAAAATAGGTAGTTTTGTCTCTTTAGAGATGAGAAACTGAGGTTCAGAGAGATGAGGAACTTCCTCAATGTCACACAAGTGGTCAGTGATGGGACAAGGATTCAAACCTAACTTCAAAGCTCTTGAAATACCCACTCAGTTGCTAAGCTCTGTTCCCCACCCCCAGCCCCTCACATGCCTCTACGCTTTCTAAAACCTGATAAAAAAAAAAAACAGAAACTGTTCTAAAAATTGAAGAGCAGAAGTTTTCTCCCTTGATGCCATTTGGAATGGATATTTTAATTTCTGAACATAGGATAGAAAATATTTGGGAAGGGGCGTCTGGGGGGGGGTCAGTCAGTTAAACATCTCCCTTTGGCTCAGGTCATGATCTCGGGATCCTGGGATCGAGTCCTGCGTCATTAGGCTCCCTGCTCAGCGGGGAGCCTGCTTCTCCCTCTACCTCTGCCTCTCCCCTCCACAAGTTCTCTCTCTCTCTTAAATAAATAAAATCTTTAAAAAGAAAGAAAATATTTAGGAAAATAGTGTATCAGTACACATGATTAGTAAAGTACTCCGACTCCAAATCAATTTAATTTATCGAGCCATTCCTAAGTGTAAGACACTGTGCTACGTGCTGAGGGGAATACAAGATAAATGGAGACCTGCCCTCAGAGAGAGGGGGTGAGACAAGCA